ATCCATGTTGTTACAAAAGACAGGATTTTCTTCTTTCTCATGGCTGAATAATATTCATATATATCTCATATCTTATTTATCTATTCATCTGTTGACATATGACATATATACTTAGGTTGTTTCCATATCTTGGATACTGTGAATAATACTGCAGTGAACATGGGGGTGCAAATATCTCTTCCAGATAGTGTTTTTATTTCCTTTGAATATATACCTGGGCTGGCCGAGTGACTCAGTTGGTTAACAGTTGGCTTGGGAATGCGAGTTCTGAGTAGCAGGGCTGCCAGTTCGGTTCCCACATGGGCCAGTGATGCTGCACCCTCTATAGCTAAGATGGTGAACAACAGCTGGACCTGGAGCTGGGCTGCTGTGAGTCGCCGGCACCGGCGTAGGCTGCAGTGGGGCTGCAGTGGGCTGCCATGAGCTACCGTGAGTGGTCGGCAGCCAGCGTGAGTGGCCGGCAGCCAGCGAGAGCTGCTGTGAGCCGCTGTGAGCAGCCATCCAATGGCCGAAAACTGACTGCTTCACCCGAGAAAAGCACAATAATCATAATACCAACATGAGCCAGTGAAGCAGAGTCCTCCACAACTAGACTGAAGAACCAAAGGACAGCAACTTGTCTGTTCCCCTCCCCCAATTCCCCAATTAAAAAATATATATATATAAAAAAATAAAAAGAATATATACCCATAAGTGGAATTGCTATATCACATGATAGTTCTAGTTTTAATTTTTTGAGGAACCTCCATATTGTTTTCCATAGTGGCTGCACCAAATTACATTCCCAATAGTGCGCAAGTGTTCCCTTTTCTCTACATCCTCACCAGCATTTGTTATCTCTTGTCTTTTTTATAATAGCCATTCTAACAGGTGTGAGGTAACATCTCACTATGCTTCTGATTTGCATTTCCCTAATTAGTGATGTGGGTTATTAAATTTTATTTTATTTTTTGTAGTCAGGGAACATACTCTGAAAGGTTTTACTCATTTAATATTTGTGGGATATTCTTTAGCTTAACATATGGTAAATTTAGGTAAAAAACAGTCTATGTATACTTGAAAAGGATGTGAATTATTCTGTTGTTGGATACATCAAGTTCGTTAATTGTGTTGTTCAAATCTTCTCTATCTTTTTTGATTTTTGGTCCATGAGCACTATAAGCTATTAAATTATATGCTTTCAAGACTTTCAGTGTGATTTTAGGTTTGTCTCTTTTTCTTTTTAATTCTGTAAATGTTTGCTAGATTATTTGGTGAATAAATTTTAAGATTGCAATATAATCCTGCAGAATTGAGCATTTTATCATTGCAAAATACCCTTCCCCCTTTTCTCTCTAATATTGCTTCTTACCTTAAATCTATTTTAGGACTTCCAGTAAGATGGCAGAATAGACAGGCACTGTGCATACTGCCTCCCAGGATCACACCAAAATTACAAATAATTTATACAACATTTAACCTCAGCAGTCCCCTGAATGCTAGGTGAACAGAAACTCTAAAAGAAGGATTTAAAGAAGAGGCCATATCGAGACTGGTAGGAGGGGTGGAGACGTGAGGCAGGCTGACTCCAGGCCCACAGAGAGAGGGCGAGCCCTGTGGTAGAGAGGCTTCTCCTGTTGGGAGAGGGACCCTCTGGTTCCTCACCAAGCTCACCAGCCCAGAGTTATTTTGCTGGGAAGAGAAATTCCACGATAGCTGGCAGTAAAAATTGGTGAGGATTCTCTTTGCTCAACACAGTGGAACAGAGAGCGGCTAGAGACTCAGTCACCCTCCTGTGGAGCCAGCACATGGAATCACTCGCTGGTGAGCACTCACCCGGTCCCTGGCAGAGGGAGTGGCTGCGTGAGCGGGGGCCCAGGAGCCTGCCAATATTAAACTATCAGAAGAAGAAATCAAGAAATCAATTCCATTTACAATTGCTTCAAAAACAATAAAATACCTAGGAATAAATTTAAACAAAGAAGTAAAAGACCTGTACTCAGAAAATTATATGACACCAAAGAGAGAAATTAAAGAAGATACAAATAAATGGAAATACATACTATGTTTATGGATAAAAATAATTAATATAGTTAAAATGTCAATATTACCTAAGGCAATATATAGATTCAACACAATGCCTATCAATGACTACCAATGACATTTTTCTCAGAAATAGAACATATAATCATAACATTTATATGGAACCATAAGAGACCCCAAATAGCCATGGCAATCCTGAGAAATAAGAACAAAGTGGGAGGTATCACACCACCTGACAACAAATCATACTAATAGGCTATAGTAATCAAAACAGTATGGTAGTGGCATAAAAATAGACACATAGATCAATGGAACAGAATAGAGTAGAGAGCTCAGAAATAAATCCATCCATATATGGTCATTTAATATATGACAATGGAAGCAAGAAGTTACATTGGAGTAAATATAGTCTATTTAATAAATTGCACTGGGAAAATTGGACTGACAAATGCAAAAAAATCAAAATGGACCACCTACTTATGCCATATCTGAGAATAAATTCTAAATGGGTTAAAGACTTCAATGTAAGACCTGAAACCATAAAACTTTTAGGAGAAATCATAGAGGATAAATTTGCAGACAATACCCTGAGTATATTTTTATTGATATATCCCTTCAGGCAAGGGAAATAAAAGAAAAAATAAACATATGGGATTACATCAAACTTAAAAGTTATTTCACAGCAAAGGAAACCATCAATAAAACAAAAAGGCAGCCTACTAAATGGGAGAAGATATTTACCAATGATATATCTGATAAGGGGTTAATATCCAAAATTTATAAAACACTCATTCAACTCAACACCAAAAAACCCCAAATAACCCAATTAAAAAATGGGCAGAGGATATGATGAGACATTTCTCTAAAGAGGACATACAGATGGCCAATAGGCATATGAAAAAATGCTCAACCTCACTAATCATTAGAGAAATGCAAATAAAAACCACAATGAGATACCTCCTCACTCCAGTCAGAATGGCTATCATCAATAAATCAACAAACAACAAGTGCTGGCGAGGTTGTGGAGAAAAGAGAACCCTGGTGCACTGTGAGTGGGACTGCAGATTGGTTGCAGCCATTATGGAAATCAGTATGGAGGTATCTCAAAAAACTGAAAATGGAACTACCTTATGACCCAGCAATTCCACTCTTAGGTATCTATCCAGAAAAACCCAAGGTGCTAATTCGAAAAATATATGTACCCCTATGTTTATTGCAGCACTATTTACAATAGCCAAGACTTGGAAACAACCGAAATGCCCATTGGTAGACAACTGGATTAAGAAACTGTGGTACATTTATACAATGGAGTATTACTCAGCTATAAAAAAGAAGGAAATCTTACCATTTGCAACAATATGAATGGACCTAGAGAACATTACGTTAAGTGAAATAAGTTAGTTGGAGAAAGACAAATACCATTTGATCTCACTTATATGTGGAAATCAAAGAACTAAATAAATGAGCAAAGTAAACAAATAGTCTCAGAGAATAGAGGAAAAACTGATGGTTGCTAGTTGGGAGGGGGTGGGGATAAGGGAGAAGGGGAAGGGATTAGACAGCATAAATAGGTAACTACAATATTGTCACATGGATACGCAAGACAGTTTGGGGAATATAATTAATAATGTTGTAAATATTTTGTAGGGTGTCAGATGGTCACATGTCTTGTTAGGGAGACCACTTCATGGATGGGGTAGAGGCCTGTCCACTGCACTGTACACCTGAAGCTGATGTTGTATAATATTGTATGTCAACTATAATTTTATATATATATATATATATATATATATATATATATATAATCACAAGATGTGGAGTATACTGTGGTGAGTGGAGTCAATGGAATTGTAATAGATATGTGTGATGTTGGTGGGGTGGTGGATTGGGGAGGGGGATATCACTTTGTGAATGGGTGAAACGTATAACTATTACATTGTTTTGTACACCTGAAATTAATAATAAAAAAAGCTTAATGAATATTGAAAGCTTTGTATTCAGCATGCAATAAACATACACACAGATTTATGTACAAAAAAATCTATTTTATGTGGTTTTGTAACTATGACAGATTTCTTTTAGGTAATGTTTGCATAGTCTATCTATCATTTTAATCCCAAGCTTTGAATGTCTTTATATTTAAATTATATTTCTTATAAGGAATCCATTTTTGGAGTTTTTAAATTCTGGCTGTCAATATTAGTCTTTTCCTTAGGGTAGTTGGTTAATTTTCATTGCACATAATTAGATTTTTGTATTTCAAGAAGTTTTGTCCCCAAATTTGACATTCTGTTATTGTGCTATTTCCTGAAATTGCATTCTTTATTTCATAAAAGCAGTTCAAACATAGGTGTTATATCTACAGATATTCTTATTTGTTCATTCCAATATTTGCAGTCCATGTGAAGTCTGTTTGCTGCTTGTTTGTGTTTGCTTTGCTGACTTTCATTCATACTTTCTATGTTTGAGGAGCATTGTGAGCACATTGTGTATTTGTCTCTTCTATACACTACTTTTCATTATATATCTAACCTGTTATTATAAACTTAACATAAATGATGGTGTTAATGTTGATATTGAAAAAGATGAGGAAATCCAATTTTTGTTTCTGTTGTGTTTTGTTTCTTATAGATATATATTTGGTTCTCCTACTCCACAATTCAGATTAAGAAATGCAAAATAGTCCCAGGAGGACAAGTAAAATTCATGAAACAAACGTTCATTTGCATGTTAACAAATTGTAGGTAGCACTCAGACTGGAGACACATTCTCTAGACTAGCTTTTACACATGTAACTGGAGGTGATTCTATAAAGATATTTCAGATTCCAGGAGCACGTATTAATTGGGGCACTTTTAACTCTTAATGTAATGAAAGAAAAGGAAATCATTCTTCCATCAAGCAGCCAATATATTCCTCATCCTTCAGCAGGTAATCTAAAATCTATGTAATACGAACAATATTAGGGCTTGGCAGAAATGCTAAGTAAAGTAGAAGGACTCTTCATTTTCATTGTCATTACTGAATCAATACTGGGGACTTTAGTGAATGGATTTATTATACTAGTGAACTGCATTGACTGTGTCAAGAATAAGAAGTTTTCTGTAATTGGCTTGATTCTTATTGGCTTAGCTACCTCAAGAATTTTTCTGATATGGCTAATATTTGCTGATGGATTTTTAAAGATGTTCTCTCTAGGTGTGTATTTCTCTGGAAATGTAATTGAATGTATTAGTTACTCGTGGGTGATTATTAATCAATCAAGTATCGGGTTTGCCACCAGCCTCAGCACCTTCTATTTCCTGAAGATAGCAAATTTTTCCCACCACATTTTTTTCTGGTTGAAGGCTAGAATCAATAGGATTATTCTCCTTCTAATGGGATTCTTGCTTATTTCATTGTTACTTACTTTCCCACAAATTGTGAAGATTGTTAATAAGCATAAAATCGATAGAAACATAACGTGGACACTCATCATGGGTATGAGTAAAAGTGAATTCTTCTCTAACCAGATTTTGCTCAATCTGGGAGTCATTTTCCTCTTTACACTAACTCTGGTTACATGTTTCTTGTTAATAATTTCCCTTTGGAGACACAACAGGCAGATGCAATTGAATGTCACAGGCTTCAGAGACCCTAGCACAGAAGCGCATGTGAAAGCAATGAAAATTTTGATATCTTTTGTCATCCTTTCTATCTTGTATTGTATAGGCATCGCCATAGAAATATCATGTGTTACACTGCCAGAAAACAAGTTGCTGTTTTCTTTTGGTATGACAATCACAGTCCTCTATCCCTCAGGTCACTCGTTTATCCTAATTCTAGGAAACAGCAAGCTAACGCAAGCCTTTTCGAAGGTAGCACAGCATTTAGAGTGCTGTGTGAGAGAGAAACTTCTCAGAACTCCATAGAAGGTGTGGGGAGACATGAATGTAGAATAATCCAGTGAAGAGACGCCTGAAGATCTATTTCACTGGCACCACATTCTTCCATTGGTTTTAACTGTGTTGTTAGACATCACTAAAATCTTCCATAATTATTTTGACTACATCTCAGGAAATTTCACTTTTCAATGAGATTTTAACCCCACATGCAGATTCAATGGCTCAGTCAGCTTCCCTACCCTGCAACTTTTTCTTCCCAGAGGAAAAACAGCTTGGAGACACTCTTAAGGTGATGATAGTGGAAGTAAGCATCTAATATCAGACTTTTCATTGTGCTTTACCTGACTTTTCTGAAGCATTGGCACCCTTTCACCAAGAAGACCCAAAGGAAAAGAAACAAAAACAAAGAAAGCTATAATCAACCTTGACATTTAGAACACGGAAATTACAGAGAGAAGTGCTTCTTTTCAGTTTGCAATTTTAATTCTTTAAAAGGTTACTTTTATTTGTACTCTTTAAATCCTAATGTTTTTGTTTGTTTTTTTACTGGTGTGTGTTTGATATAGTAGCAGTAGTTGTAGCAGCAGGTGTAGTTCTGTGAAAAATAGCTCAGGAAGCAGAGTCTACATGGGGAAGGGGATCAGAGAACTGATAACATGAGTCTTCATTTCTGCGGATTTGAAATGAAGCAAAATCATGGACCAATTAGAGTTAAGTACAGATTCTGTTAGAAGTATAGATCCGAAGGACTCAACATGGTTACTGAGGTATGCTAAGGACGCAAACTGACCCGGGATAGAATCAGTGTGAAGTATAAAATGTTCTGCTCTAGGGTTTCTTACACACATATATGTTCATACACACAGACTTGCACTCATGGACATATTTCAAATGCTGCTTTTTAAAGTGAATATTTATATCTAACCCAGGATGTGAACTGAGTGTCTTATTTTGGCACCTTACAAAAGTACACTGCCATATACTTACAGCCTAACACCTGGAAGATTTCTAAAAACAAAGGTTTAATAAATATTTTTTGAGCGCTAAAACTGTTAGGTGCTGAGGATATGGCACTAAACAAGATCCCAGTATCATGGACAAGATATTCTGGTAGAAAAACAAGATAAATAGCAATACCTTAATTATATTTATGGTTTTGGGAAGGAAAAGCTAAAACTTGCTAAGAAAATAAACTGACTTGGTCCTGGGAGTAGAAAAGATGTCACCGAGGCTGAGATAGTTTAGCTCAAGATCTGGAAATTGCAGAAGAGTACAGAGGGCAGGGCAGGAGAGATCTGAGGTGAGGAAGCAGCATTCTCGTGGGTCTTGAGGCAAGAAGGGACATAGGGCATTCCAGGAACTGAAAAGTCCAGCATGACTATTATATAGAGACTGCAGCATTTTAAATTATTCTAAGGGAAATTCAAATAAGGAGGAATTTCATAAGTTCCTTCCAGAATTGATAAATGGCCCTGCAGAAATATTAAACTAATATTTCAGTAGTGGAAAAATACTCATTCTATTCCAATCTTTAAACCATTCAACTTTATTATGTTTAATGTCATTGCTTTGATCACAAAAACATGTTTTTAATTTTCATATATTTGATTACTGACACGGTTAAGCATTTTTACAGACTTATTAACAAATGATGTATAATTTTTAGAAATTATTCATTTGTTTTCCTCTTATTTTTTCATGTCTATGGTTTTTCTTACCAATTTTGTGATACTTTCTATGTTATCATTATGCCATATATATGTTATAATTTTTTTTCTTAGTTTGCTGTTTTGTAAATATCTTAGTTCATGGTGTTTGGGGAAATAAGTTGGTAATTTATATGAACTCAAATCTATGTGTTTCCCTTTATGATTTCTTCTGCTGCTATTTTTGCTAATTTTGGTTTAGTTTTATTGTAATATGTTCCTTTTATCAATAACTCCTTCTTTTTCTGATAAAATTTTATTTTATTTTACCTAAAATTAAAAACACAGAAAGTTCTAAAGAAATTAATGTTATTCATATTTGTCACTCAACTAACTACTGTAAACATGTTCCTACATTGTTTTAAGTTAAATTTCAAGATAGATATAGATACATAGGTATGTTGATAAGATTGTATATTATTTTTATTTTCTTTTAGTTTTCTGTAAATTTCTAATTTTTTTATAATTTATGTAATAATTAATGTAATTAGGGAAATATAATTAAATAAAAGACAAGAAACAGGAATAAAATCTGTTTGGTTAACTTTCCTTGAGAAAGGAGGAAAAGGTCATTACTCAGCGTTTTCATAAACTGTATAATTACTAACTCTGATATCTGCTGGTCTAAAGTCTAAGATCTGCTTTTTTAGTTTATCATTTGTGCTGACTCTTGATTATGACTCCTGGTCATCATATATTTTGTGATTCTATCTTGAACTCAGTTTCATTAGAACGTCATCTGTAGAAGTTCTTTGAGGTCAAGTTTACAGTGTACTTTGCCAAAAACAAAATGATTTTGCTTGCGAGGCCGATTGGGGACCCCACCAGTCTTAGATTTATTTAAATTAAATTTTTGGTTTGTAATTTTACAACAAAGGCAGTAAAGGCTACACAGGCAGTACAAATTCTGGCCCCAAATATACATGTATAAAAGGCTATTATTAGAGATTATCCGGGAAACAAATCTCTTTTATATGATTTCTTCTATTCAGTGTCATGATTCAGAGGTAAGTACCCCTAATTTTAACCTTTTACTGGACATATATTATTTTTCCATTGCCCTTTAAGGAATAGCCTTTCAGGGCTCCCAGTTTATTGATAGTATCCAATCTCATTTCCAGTCTTGGAGAGGGCCAAGCTAGGTGTCTTATCCTACAAGCACATGCTTTTTTAAAACTTAAGCTCTAGTTTAAAAGGTTGAAAGAGCCCCAAAGGTTTTATTTTTAAAACTTGTTTCTCTTTCAAAATTTGCACTTTCCCACAATTTTGGCTTCTGAGAAATTCTTTAACTTTCCCGATATCTGGGCCATGCACTTAAAGTAATTCCAAAGACTTCTTTTTCCATATTTTTATGTATTTTGAACTGGAGGGATTTTTTCAGATGTCTGGTTTGCCGTATTTTTGAAAGCAAGAGTTCTTCTTTTTCTAGCTTCTTTTCAATCTTTCTTATTTTTTAGTATATGTATCTAACACTATGTATTTTCTGCCTAAATATTGATTTAGATACATTCCACAGTATTGACACATAGTTCATATATTGTCATTCTGCTCAAGAAATTTCAAAATATCCTTTGTAATTTCTTTTTTTTTTAATTAGGCATGTTTATGTTTTATTTTCCTTTAGGTGATTTTTTTTTCTTTTTGGAAACTTATGCTTTCAAAGAATCAGCCCTTACAAACAGAGCATCTAATCTTTCCAAATATAAAATCCAGTATCTAGAGTCTCAAAATTCACAAAACTAAATGGAAATGTGTGGTTGTCAGCCAATAGTGTCAAGTCAGTTTCACATCACAAGGACTCATCTATAGCTAATTTTAGTAGGCAAATTCCAGTTCTAAGTATAACTAGATTCTACCATTGTCATTGCCAACTGTGTTGACAATTGTTATATTACTGAATTGTACATAATATATTTTCTTTGGCAACTTTTTACACTATCAGTGAACACAATTGGACAACTATAAAGGTTTGCATTAACTTAAGCACTTCAAAAATTTTAAATTTCATTATAATTATTTAAATGTAATTTCTTGTAGATGCTAGAATAGGAAATCCTCCAAACATGCCTAATGTAATATAATGGACAACAAAAAAATTGCTAATCACTAATATAAGCTTTTCAGTTGTAGGTACAAGTATGTAATTCAACTCCAAAACCAGTGAAAATATTACAATGTTAGCTCCAATTCTCTATCAGACTTTCTGTGATAAAAGATAAAAGTTAAATGCAGACACTAACATCTGGGTATCTGTCAATTTTTCTGGAAGGCTGTTTCATATGGATTCAAAATTGCATAAAATTAGACTATAATATGAATTCTCACTACAATGCTTCACAAAATTAAAGTATATTGATAGCTTAGTAATTTTTAATTTTGTTCTATGGAATAAGCCTACTTTGGAGGCTTGGTATCATATTACCAAGAAATTTAAACAAAAAGTTCAAGTCTAGATGTATAACTAAGAAATCTTTTCTATTATAACAAAATCACCAACTTAAATTACAAATGGCTTCCATTAACTATCACCACACCAAAATTCACACAAAGTAAATTAAAACTAGGATGGCAGAAAGTGCACTCTGAAGCTTGTTCACATTACAAAGATAAGTGATAAAATTTAGCCAAATTCAAATAGGCTTATATGCAAACATTTATGTGCAAACTTTCATGAGTTAGCTATAAGAAAGGATTAATTTGATAACTTTATGTATAGGTTATATATATAATTTAAAACAAATACAACTGAAAAATTTTTATGTAACAGCCACAAAAAAATCAAATAAAATACTAAATAAATCTTACAAACTGGTCTCTTTATGAGTTCTGATGAGAATAATAACTGAATAGTGTTATTCTAAGAAATGCCCTTTTCTTAATCAATCATTTCTGTTTTAACTGAAAAGACATCTGCCAGCAATATTTTGGAATTTCTGAACCTCTGACTTTCAAGGCATAACAAGCATTCTCCACTTTGGACAGACATTTTTTCAAGGTATACAGCTTCTTAGAAATCTCATAAGGTCCAGTACTACGTGAATGAAAGACCATCATAAACCTGAGGTAAACATTGGCTCACTTCAAAGGAGGTGTCAATATCCCCATTCCCTACCCTGTTAATACACATCCACATCAACTCTCCAGTGAAGTCAGTCACTCCAGGAAGGTAATCAACAGGTGTGATTTTCAAATCTCCAAGCACCAAACTGTTATCCTGAGAATCAGAAGAGGGCTGCAGCAATGGCCCTTTGGAACTGCTGCCTGTCTTTTCCTGAGCTCCTGGGCCCCCTGCAATATTTTTTTCTGACACCATCTGACATA